TTCGATTTCTGCTTCTGTTACTGCTGTTGCTTTTGTCTTGTGTGTGTGTGCGTTCCATTTGCTTGAGCAGGTGCTTGCGCATACCTTTTGTTTCGATGTGAAAGGGCTCTGTGCCGCATGTGTTGCCTTCCTTTGTGACTCTTGTACTGCTATCAGTTCAAGACGTCGCCCGTCTGTCCTTGGATTGCACTGAATATCGCTGACGCACTAATCAAATGAACTCGAGCTGTTAAAAAAAATTAATTTTCTATACCCTATAAACAATAAAATGGATGAACAAAGGGTAGATTTTGAATATAACTTAAGGAGAAGGTATTTGTTGTTTTTGTTGTAGTGTTGATTCATCTATCCTCAAGTCTGTATATATTATATATTATATATATATTATAATATGCATAGTACTAAGGCTACAAAATAAAGATTTTAATATTAACTGATCAGTCTTTTATTACTTAAGGAAATTTATATTTTTTAAATATTTGACTCTCTATTTAATAAGCTCTTATTTTTGTTGCAGCAATACCTATTCTTAGGCAGGCATTCGCATTTCTGTTTAAGGAAAATGCCTATTTGCTTGTTCTATATATGAGATTAGATCTATATATAGAGACTAGATATCTGAATATATTCCATAAAAATTACTTATATTATCCCATATTTGAATATTATATTATATATGTATGTATATTTCAGCTATTTCGAATACTAAATATATTTCAATATAGATCCCTAAGATTAGTTTTATAAATGACCAAGTTACATAAAGAGTTGTTCTGAATGGAGTTTGTTTTATATCGTGCTTACAGGGTGTTTGTTAGTCAAGCATTCACAATCAGTCAGTTTAAATATAATATTAAAACAGAGTTTTTACAATTGGTGACCCTGACGAATGCGAGCAGCGCATTTTGCAAACTCACTAAGCTACAGAAATGTCAATGGCCTATATATGCTACAATATCTATTTGTACTCTCTATATACAGATTTTGAAATATCATAATCACAATATCTAAAAAAAAGTATAAAAAAGACGCTGCACTAAATATATAATAGATATATGAACAATAGAGCCATATTTCAAAATTGAAATACTGCTCTATATATACACATACTAATATATATACATATGTATATGCGTGTGCAACAGAGAGTATTGCGCAGTCGATTTAATCAATGTAACGTGCTTAGTCGTTTATTTCAGCAGATAAATTAAAACCAAAATTTATTATGACTCATACATGACATTCGTTAGCCAGCCAGAAGAAGTTGATCTAGAGAGAACTTTTGTTCGGGTTTCACGCTGATATTACGTAAGTTCAGCAAACACAATTCAAATCAAAGATCAAAAGAATATAAATGAATTGGGCAGCAAAACACAAAAACATGTTTCCAGACTGACAAGTTCAGATAAAGAATAGAATGCCAGAAATATGTTAAAAGTTCTATATGTATATATGTAGCATCAGCTGTGATCGCTGTGATCTCTGATCTGTAAGCATTGGAATTGCTGGAATCGCATTCGAACATCGAACTGTTTCTATTTATGCCGAATACTGAGGACCCCCGCTGAAGCAACAAGACTGACTGTGCGGTGGTTTAGTTCAGTTCAGTTGTGGTTGCTGCGGCGGTGGTGCTAGTGGTGTTGGTGTAGACGTCGAGGGAAAGCAAAGAGCAAGCAAGTTTCTCAGCTCAATGATCCGATTGTGTGTTTATTCGTTTTACATATGGTAAACAGGCGAGACTGAGTGTGTGTGAGAGAGAGACAGAGGGAGCGGGAGAGAGCAAGACAAAGAGAGAATCAAAGTCGTGTAAATGTATATTTGAATGCCTCTGGCAGCGCTCACGTTGAAGTCGCCTTGGAATTCGTAGAACATAGGACAAATGTGTTACACTTCTTACATATTAAGAGCTCAGACTTGAAACAATTTGTGGAATATTTACGTTTTTATTTTGTTTTAATTGATTTCTTGTTTTGCATGTTGAAATGTAACATGTTGATTTATTGGAAGTCTATATCAGATCATTTCTGTGCAAATAACATTTTTTGTGACTAGCAGAAGTAAAATAGTTGTAATATTTTAAATGTTCTTTTTTTTTATATAAATTCATATACCATATTTAATATATGTCAAAAAGAAATACTTGTAATATATAAATAAATTACTATAAATTTTTTATTTATTTTTAATAATAAAATAAAAATAATAATCAAGACAACATAAAACAAATAAATGAAATTATAATAATAAATAAATATATGTATATAATTAAAAAAAAAAATAACGAATTTATTTCAAAATTATAAAAAAATTATAATTTTTTCCCAATTTGTTTTACTTATATATATTTATGTATTATATACATATGTATAATTATAATTCTCAAATTTAACAGAATTAATTTGTACAGCTTAATTATTAATAAATATTAGAATATTGAAAAGTCGGTCAATCCACATTGCTATTATTTTCTCACTTTCACTTGTTTGTTTAAAAAATTTTTTACAGAATAAAAGCAAATTAATTTCAAATATATTCAGATTGCATGCAAAAGATAATATCTTCACAAATTTTTGAAAGTTATAAGCAAAATCGAATAATTATAAATGTATTAAATTGTTGAATATATGTATTTATAATAATATTAATTAGGAATATAAATATATAACACAAATAATTAAATATATACCTTTATGAATATTAATAATTATAAATATACTATAATATTCAATGAGTCCGTCTCTTAAAAAATTAATAAAAGTCAGATAGAAATGCTCTACCATTTAATTATATATGTATATATATTTTGTTATATATATACGCTTATTATATGTATATATTCCTTTCATATCGATACCTATTCAAGTTCAAGCTATTAAAGTTTGCATTGACTTTATGCTGATGAAGATCATTAGATGATAATAAGTGTGTAATAATAGCTTCAGCTTACTCAGTTGATTGTTTGGTGTGAAAGCTGTGCTTAACACTCGAAAAGCCTAACCCTAGACAATTACGAACAGAATAGCCAAGATCTATGGCAAGCAGATTTGTGTGTGCAGACATGCAATTTGCATAATACAGAAACTGTGTAGACGAGGCCAGATTAAGTCATGTATTAAATAACGCAAAGTTGAAGTGCTTTGGGCCAGTTAGCATTAGATTTGATGTTAGTTTATAATAGCACTTTGTTTATTTTTTTTATTTCTTCTGGCCGTAGTTTAACTGAAGCGACGACAGATTTGCTGGCCGAGTCGTTTGGTCGTTGTGGTCTCGTGGTTTTCGCTGTTTTACTTTTGCTACAGTCTTGCCTCGCTTTGTGGATTATGGCATTGAGGTGTCTGATTACCAGAAAAAAAACCTCTTAAGTAAGACTCATTGTAGAACGCAGCAGCAGCAAGCGCAACGAAATATATTTGTAGATCTAATCTAAATATTTCTAATTTAAGTTTTCTGATGTTTGTTTTTGTGGAGAAAATGGTAATCATCCATAAATTAAAAACAACAATTTTATGCCACATAAAATTAATAACAAAACAGAAACAAATAAAAACCAAAACTTGTTTAGAACTGATGCCGACAAATTTATTCATGAATTCATTTAGTTGGCATTGTTCGTTTTTGTCTAAAACAAACTTTTACTTTTCATCATTGTTTGCCATATCTACTTATTTCTTTATTTGTTTTTTTTCTTCTTCTTCTTTTATATTGTGAAAGAAATCGTTCGTATTGCAATTAATCTTCAGTCGAGTCGAGTCGAGTCGGCCAACCAATTAGGTAACCAAACCATATACCCTGGCCCTCTCGCGACTCGAGGTTTTGGTTTGTGTGTGGGCAGAGAAAGTTTTCTTTATTCATCTGGTTCTATTCCAATGGGTCAACAGCCACTTGGCCACTCGCGATTTGCATATCATATGGCCACAGCTGCACTCAGTTGCATTCACAGTTGCACTCTTGAGTGGTCTTCAGTCAGGTCTAGAAATCGGGTCAACATGGGTTTTTAGGCATTGCTTTTAACAAGTAGAAGTAGACCTAATATTAATTTAATTTATATACAAAATATGTCAACAGAGTTCCTTCTATAAAAATTAAGGCTTCTATTTAGAACTATTTCTAAGTTGAGTTAATATTAAATAGAGTAATAGGAGCTGTACTTTGAAGGAACCCGAAAAGTTGAAAGGAATTTCGGTTTTCACTAGAAGATTAAAATATATATGAATTGTATTGTTGGAGTTACTCGAATTTGACTTATCAGTCTATCAGTCAGTTAATCAGTAAATCCATCCATCAGTCAGTACTTCCTTCATTCCCTCCCTCAACACAAATGCTGTCATATGATATCTATAATAGACGATTACTGTCATTAGAAGAAATGTAAAACTCTAAATACTGAATGTTAATTTGTGCCTACTAGGTCTTTTCTCTTCTTCTTCTTCTTTTTTTTTTTTTTTTTTTTTTTTTTTTGCATAATGTGCCAAAGGATTAGGCTGTGACCTAACACGAGCAGCTATTGACATTTTTTGCCAGGACATTTTTATGCAAATCAGTTAGTGACACGCACACAAAATAATGGGGCTGCCTTCCAATATAGGGCTCGTGATATGCGATATGGATGTGGATGAAAATGTGAATATGCAAATGTGAATGTGAATGTTTGCCCTCGGAACATTCGGCATCGGATTGCGACTAGCCCAAGCAAGAATTTGTTTGACTGCGGGCTTGGCCTGATGGTTCAGGGCAGGATATGACTGCACAGAGAGAAATATCCTCTTACGTAATTACATTCCAAGCTAACGTAACTTAAGATATTGAAATGGTTAATGTGTTTGAGTTGGAGATATATACATATATATTTACGAGTATAATATATTCTATTCAGTTAAGTTTCAATATCGAATTTATAAAAGGCTTCTCACTAAATTTTCTTGCAAGTAGCATAAATATTTTTAAGTTAGCTTCTCAAGATTTTTATTCAAACTGTTTGTTTATCTTTTTCTTTATCTCAGCACCGTATCGGCTTGAATTAAAAATGTAACTGCATATTTGAGGCGCTGCTACTGAATCAAGTCAACTTCATTTTGCGAAGCGAGAGATAAGGAGTTTATATCAGGTGAGTTTCCGATTCTTTAATAGATAAATATATTTTAGTCATAGGGTGACATAAATTTGCAATTTACCTATGAATATATCAAAATATTTATTATAAATATTTTTAACTTGATCGTTTTAAATAAGTTTATCGTACGAGCTGTCTAAAAAAATTATTAAATAATATATATGTTTAAGTTATTAACATTAGTTTTGAATTTATTATATTTATATTTATATGCTAATTTATATATATTTTCAATTTATTAATTTAATTTATAAACATTAATTTTGAATTCATAAGAAAAACATTTTTAAATTAAATTTATCATTTATATTAATCTGATAATAATAATATTAATTTAAATTTATTTATACTTTTTTGATTAAAAGGTATTTTTAAATTATTATTCCTTTTTTTTTTTATTATGAATATTTTAAAATTGATTCATAATGCATACAAACTTGTTTTTTTTTTCATTACAAAAGAATATTTTTAAAAGAAGCCTATAATGTGATCCTTAAGCTTCATATTTCCAAAAAAAAAAAAAAAAATAAAATAAAATAAAATAAATAAATAAATAATAATAATAATAAAAAAAAACAACTTTTGTACTCCAGTTGATTAAAAGTAAAAGCAAAGCAATTAAGAATCTTGCGATGGGGCGTAATCAGCTGCACAGTCTACTGCTTCACAGTCCAACCATAGCTGAGCAATAGGCCAACTGATAAATGTATACATCTATCGACTCAGTCAACTTTACTCTAGCTCTGGGCTGGGCCTCTCAAGTATAACATTCCAGTGTAGATATACAAAGAGATTCACAGAAAACATAACAGAAATACTATATAAAGGCCATATACTCGTTTTGCCCAGACGATAACAGAGCATAAAGAATAACAATTTCAGTGTGTGTTTCCTTTGCAACGCTTTTGGATAAAGTGAGGCAATTGTTTTTGTTATCATTGAATAACAAGTCTCGGTTCATTGACTCCAAGTCAACAATATTTGTTCATTCTTATACAAATGTCTTTGGCTCTAGAGAGAATCAATATTTTGCTGAGACATAAACTCCTTTGCCTTATATGGTTATGTTAATGAAGTCGTTGTTCGGTGGTTAGGGTCAGAGTTTTCTTTTTAATACTCTGAATTGACTAGGTCAGTGTATATGTGTAGGTCTTGGCGTTTAACTAGCGGCAAGGACTCTATGCTTGACGACTGCGCAGTGTGAAATGAGCGAAAGTGAGAGAAGCATTGAGAGTATAGCAACATTTGAGCAGCAAAGTAGGTAACAATTTTATTTAAATTTATATATTATAAATATTAGGCAATCTAAAATAATTTGATTATATTTTCTAGTGCTCCTTTATTTAATTTGCTTTAATAATTGGGAATTCCGAATCTGCTTAACAACGTGCAACTGCGCATGTTTTGTATAGCAACATGTGTATAGCAGCATGTTGCTAGCTGCTAAGCTAAAGCGGCAGCTTGAATGTGCGCATGTTTTCTCTAGCAACATGTGTATAGCAACATGTTGCTAACAGTTGCTCTACAATTAAGCTAATGCTGTAGCTTGAATAGACTTAAATGAATGTGCGCATTTATTGTATAGCAACATTTGCTTAGCAACATGCTGCGGGTAGGCGCTCTGCAACTGCGCTGATGCTGCAGCTCCATGACGCCCACGCGAGAGCAACTGCTGCTCCGGCTACACTCCTTGACCTTGGGCACACATAAAATGTTGCCTCAACTGTGTGTGAGTGTGTGTGTGTGTGTGCTTGTATGTTTGTATTTGTGTGTTGCTGAGGCTGCGAGTCCATGAGAACGAGTGCGAATTAAACGCATTTTAGTCGCACATTTCGCTGGCAGCCACAAGTTGTGTGTGTTTTCTCTCAAACTGTAGAACTGAACGTTATACGCGAGTTGATTTGTGCTTTCCTATATGTATGTATATATGCATCTATATACACATGAATATATGTATAAGTGAAATATTAATGAAACAGAGCACACGCGACCACGATCCCCCAACGAATTGGCCGCTGTCTGGGCGCATTCCACTGGGTATGTACGTATGTATGTATGTACGCATAGATGTATACCATCTGCAGTGTGTGTGTCAAAGTGACGCAGTCTCTTGAAAATAAACAACCAAATCATCAGCATCAGCATCAGCCACAGCCACAGTCAGAGTCTCAGCAGCATCAGTTTAGGGGCCAAGCATCTTTGATTCTGTGAATCAGCAGCTGCTTCGTCATCGGCGCCACAAAATTGTTGAGAGCAAGTTTGTGCCCCTTATTTCTTGCTACTCTTTGCGAATTTGTTGTTTGTTTATTGATTTTTGGCATTGCTTCAAGCAAATGTTTCAAACGATTTTTGGTACTGCCGAAACGTGCCCATTTTTCATATTTGTTATATTCTGTATTTATGCAAAATGTATGCATATATGTAAATATTTATATAGATTTGTTTGCCTTCGATGTGTCTCAAATGTATGAAGTCGATTAAAATTACTTGCACTGTGGATAACAAGAAATGTAAATAAATTTGCAACAGAATATGCGCTGCGGCTCTAGGCAATTTTTTATTTATGCTGTAAGAAATTTGTATGCCGCGCCGCAACTTATTTTAGAGAAACTATATTTTCTGAATATTTTTTTTAGCTCAACTCATTTTCTCAATTTATATAAACAAAGTCAAGTGAGTTAGAATATAATAAACGCTTTTTAACACTCTTCATTTATTACTATTCGGCTTACATTTTTAAAATCAAATAGTAGATATTTTTTATTAATATATATATTATATTTCATATATAATATATTTCATGTATTTAAATTGGTAATATTAACATACTTATGTCCTCTTAAAAATATAAATAACTAAACAAAACCTATTTCGAAAATAATTTCAATAAATAAATAATAAAATAAAAAAAAAATAAATAAAATAAAATAAAAATAATAACAAAATAAATAATGAAATAGCTAGAATATTAAGAAATAAAAGTGAAATTGTAAAGTTTCTTAAATCTTAACATAAATAAAATATATTGCCTTCATATATTAAGAGTTTAATTTACATCTTAGTAAAACATAATACATAGATATATGTATATATATTTAATTTAGAATTATATAGAACATAATTCAAACACATATGTTTACCCATAAAAGTTTAAAATTTGAATTGTCTTTATGATTTTTTTTTTTTTTTTTTTTAACTTGGTCATTTTACATAAATTTAATGAATACAAAATATTATTTTAAAAATTACATTAATTTATTAAATATATTAAAATATTGTACATATATAGCTCAAATTAATTTTATTTTTAGTTTTTAACAAAATTTAAATTGGTATAAGGAAATATATACAATATTTTTATTATTATTATTATATCTAGTATACATTTTTTTTCTTTTCTTGAATATACATTTATTAATATATATTTTATATTTAATTACATACATTTAAATCGATTGAATTGCATTTAAATTTTGATTTAGGCCTTGGCATAATTTCTAGCTGTCTTTCAAATATTTTGCATTTTGCAAATAACAAAAAAAAAAAAAAACAAAAGCAAAAAATCCGCGCAGCATGAAAAACAAATTGTCAAAGAGCTGTTAGTCATTTGAATTAATAGCACCATATGAATGGATAGTTTGGCTAGGGCACTACCGCACCGCCACACGACCCACCAACCGAGCAACCAACCGAGCCAGCCAAGTTTCATAGAGGTCTTCAACTGAATTATTGTGTAAACTTGCAATGAGCATGCAATTTGTTTCAGTTTGCTTTATTTTTTCGCTTTTCGCTGTTTCGCTCTTCGCTCTTCGTTTTTTTCGCTTTTCCAGCTGCCAAGCGTCAGATGTCAGGGGCACTTTCCTTTTCAGCTCAACGTGTTGAGCTTTGCTGTACATTATGCCATTTGGCAATGAGGTGGATGCTGCTCTTTTGTGGTGCTGGTGGTGCTGCTGGTGGTGTCATTGAGCTAGAAAAGCCACAAGTGTTTTTTTTACAGTGCCTTGAGAACAATTTCGCTGCACTTTATGCCCAAGGCGAGCGAACAACAGCTGTCTGTGTCTGGCTGTCTGTTGTTGGTAGGGCATCTCAGCTGTGTGGGTAACTTCCTCCTGGCCACATAACGCATTGTTGCCAATTGCCGGTTGCCATTTTGCTGTTCGTTGTTTTATTGTTTGCCCTCAACGCCGCATCATAATTATGTTGGCAAATTTGTGTAATGAGCGCGTGCAATTACCGCGTTAAGGCTAAAGATACAGATGCAAACAGACACACACACACACACACACATTCATACAAACCTAGTCAAAAAGTTAGCTGCGCCTATGCAAATCTCATGTATAAGTAGTATAATTAAATTTTGCTGCTGTTGCGTTTCACGGGCTCTTAACTTTTCAGTCACTCAGTGCATGTGTGTGTGCGTGTGCATGTGCCTGTGCATGTGTGTGTCTGCGTGTAATGCAAATGAAAGCCAAAGTTAATTTGTTAGATTTTTCACGTTGCGAATGCGATTACGACCGCAACTACATGAAAGTGCAACACGTCCAGCTCCGAGTTACTTCTGTGGCTTGCTTTTATTATTTTCTGTAATGCTCCACAATAATTAAGATGATAATCGTAGCTGTAATAATGCGCAGTGCTAATTGCTTTTAGTGCCTTTTTATTATCAACTTAATTTGCAAAGGCTGCCTTTTAATTTATATCAAGATTGCTCTTCTTCTTGCTGTAGTTACTCTGCCACATTGCAGCATCAACACATTCAAGTTCCAGCTTCAATTAGCAGCTGCAACACGTGCTGCAACTTCTTTATAGCTCATGTGTGCAATTGGAGTTGAGTAAGAAAAAAGTGTTGCATACTTTTGGGCGGTGCATAAAATTGCTTAATGACAAGACGAGACAAATTAGATTTGTTATAGTACTTAAAGCATACTCTATACATATATTATGTTCGTATACTTTTAACGAGTACTAAGTATTTTTTTAATTTAGATACACAATAAATCAATTAAAGTATTGCTGCTTGTTAGATTGTAGAGGTCAAAATATAAAATTATTAATAATTATATTTTTAGTTCAATAACTTTAAAAAATAAAAAGTTTCTCATATATAAATTATGAGCTATATATTTATGTAAGTATTATTGCACCTAAGCTTGTTAGATTTAAAGGTAAAAATATAAAATGATTAAAATTTTTATTTATTTTTTTTTTTATTTTAATAAGAACTTTAAAAAATAAAAAAAAGTGTCTCATATATAAGTTAGAAGCTTATACACTTATATGTGAATTAATTTATGTATTATTTAATAAATAATATTTATAAACTCAACATTTTTTTTTATCAACAACGACAGCTGAGTCGATATAAACAACTACTCTTACCTACATTTCTCTGTAAACTCTTAGATTGCACTGATCAAGTTTATTTATTGATCATCCATATACATTTTCATGAATCCGATGGAAATTCATATGACACTTTTATTAATTGCATAAATTCCACAAATTGTTTGTTGGACTTAGAGGTAAAAGACACATAGCTTGTAGTATAAATAAATGAGTATAATAAATAAATAATATTTATCACATATATAATATGCAATATTCTATTTAGTAATGGTATTATGTTAAAAAAAAATTATAAAAATTTGTCAACAGTTTTCAAATAAAGTTACAAATCTTGCAATAATTAAAAAACAAATTAGACTTAGCTATATCTTAAAATATATCATATGTCATATCAATTTAAATAAATTTTAAATATTTAATTTCTTTCATCATTATGACCAATAAATTTCTGTTTGCTTTCTTTGCAGCATGTCTTCCGGCCTGATGTCTTGCGTGCGAGAAAACTCGCCGCCGTTGGAGCTGGATCTGAGTGGAGCGGGTCCCTTGTCATTGCCGGAAGGTAATAGCAGAGCCCATGGCTATCAGGGACCAACCACATCGACGCCCATTGCCTGTCCGCTGGCCGTCGCTGAGGGCGCCACAGTGGATGGCAACGAATGTTCAACGAATGCGGGTGAGTCGCAGTTGGTTCGTTTGTTTTGCTAGAGCATCACTGTGCGTATATGCACTTATGTAAGATCAACTATATACATATATACATATATGCAGGCAGACATTGCCTAGAGGCAAAACTATGCTTGCAAAAAAAAAAAAAAAAATAGTTTGCTACTTTCCCGACAACGACAACAATTGATACAATGCGCTGCAATTGTTGATACCCTATGCAGCCGAAGGGTAGCTACGAATGAAGGGAGCTTTTGCTAGGTCTGCTCCAATACAGAAACGCATTAGAGCATAGGCTAGTCATGGAATGATGTAAATATGCATACAAGTGTATGTATGCCGTTATTCATGTCTGGTATTTGCATAATTAGTTCGAGCTGTGAATTTCGTTTTGTTGCAGCCGCGTCGAGCATAAAAGAAACACACAAAGCACACGCAGTGCTATATATCATCAGGTCATACAAGTTGTGTCTATATGACTATTATATCTGGCGACTAAGTGAATAGGAAATACCTTAATATAGATATTGAACGACTTATCTTAAGCTATAAATTCGATAAATATAGAAATCTATTAGACAACACATAAATTGCCTTATGAAATCACAATCTAGCAACAAGTTTTGATATTAACTGTTAGCCCTTTGTTTAGCACTGAACAATGGAAATGGCATCTACATCAACGCTCAACGACAAACGAATAATGTTTATGTAATTGCGGCTCTGGCACAAAAAAAAAAGCAACTTTCTATCGCGAGTTCTAGACAACTAGCTTTACTATCGCACCAGAGGGGTTGGGCAACAATATACAAATTAGAGCCTTTGTTGTTGCTAGACTACGGCAAATCAATGACAACAGCAAAGCAACCAAGAGTAAAACACGCTAGAAACTGAGCTGACTAGCAGATACCCTAGGAATATGCAACGCGTTAACTGGAAGAGAATGGAAAAGGGAATAATGCCTGACGTACAGCAATTTGTTATTGACTATAAGTCAATATCAGAAATACTGAAGGGACAATATTTGTATTATTTTTAAATGCACATAAGCCGAGCTAAAATTTGTTCAATTGTTAATATGTCAAATCTTTACCTGGCGATATTAACATGTTTATACAGTTGGAAATGCAGATGAAAACAACTCTACACTTCAACTTAATCAAATATATAGTATATATAAATATATGTATATGTATATTATAGCCTTCAGCAACCTGCTACATACGCTTCATCATAAACATTATACCTCAAATGCACATTTTGAATACGTTCCAGTTCACTCTGGCATGCTAAACAGTAGTTGACTATGTGCAATAACAGTAGCTGCTGGCTGTTAACAGTAATCAGTAATGTAATCTAATGCATGAGGTGGGGCTGTTAGTCTAAGTCAAATAATAACATAGCATTGCTGTTAGCCTGCTAGCCGTTAACAGTGGAAGGCAATGACCATAACATGCCATTAACCTATGTACGATAACAGTAGCTGCTAGCCTTTAACAGCGCACGTTTATGTATTGCTATGTACTTATTTATGTATGTATGTACTCATATATAGGCAAAGAGCTAATCAGTTAGCCGTTAATAAGCTAGCTAAAAGACATTTACCGATCCGTTCGTTCGATTTCGATTTCGTTTTCGATTCGTTCGCTGAGGGCTTCGGTTCGGCATTTGTTTCTCGCTTCGTTTCGTTTTCGTACGGCGTTTTGGTTAGCATTTGTTGTTGGCGTTGCTAACGTTGCGTCCGTTTATTTCGATTTCGACTGTTTCGCCGCATTCGTATTCACTTGATTCATTAATTCATTCGCTGCTCTCCGCTCCACCTGGGCAGGTGAACAATTCGTAGTACCTGGCGCGTGTCGCACTAATTGCTTCACTCATAACTAAACTAAATTAAAAACAACAACAACAAACAAAATATCAACACTAGTTGGAAGTGTACTAAATATTTGCTTAATCAATATATTGTGAACGTCAAATTTCCTTATTCCTGCAAATGCAAATATGAATCACTAAAGGAAAATCCCAACAAGAAAGTCTCTTCTTATTAGACAAAGTGCCTAATTGTGTTTCTTATTTGTTGATATCGTGAAGTGAAAAGCCATTTGGGTACTCGAAATACACAATACATATGTATAGAAAATATCTATCTCTAAGTTGGCTCGACTTGTTTACGACGCTCTGCAAACATTTTGAACAAAAACATCTGCATCTTGTTTTCGGTGAAATTTCTATTTGAACAGGTAAGAAATTTTGCGATTCTTTTGTTTTATTTATACAACAACAGAAATGCTTAACATATTTTCGTATTTCGGTATTTCGCTCGACCAACAATAAAAACAAATTGTGATTAGTTCGATTACGAGGGCTATAAAAATAAAATTATGATCGCCAAGAGGAATATTTTGAGAAAAAAAAGAAAATAGTAAAACTAACAGTCAAGCAGAACATTGTCACGACTTTAGACTCCAAACGAACGAACAATTGCCGCAGCGAGTGGAAATTATTTGGGTCAGTTATCATCAAACAATTAAACCGATCAATGAGCACTGCATATATGTGTATATAGAGATTAACTGATAACTAAATATAAAGTGTTTCAAGAGGTTATTCGCTGGGTTTTCTATCATGATTATTGATTTTACTTAAATTCCAATGCGAAATTATTGAATGACAACCAAATTTTAGTTGTATTCGTATGTAGTTATAGTTTTTCAGCAATTTCTTATCTTATTGCTCGCTTCTCTTAACAATTAACAGAACTATGTTAGCGTTCTAATTGGAAAGTATACTAATGTGGGGAGCAGTCTAATTGGTAATTTATACAGCTTTTCAAAGGTTTTTTCGCTAATCTCCGCTAAGCTATACATAATGATAAATAGTAATATATTTATATACCCCAAAGTGGGTCAGCTAATATTATTCCAATTGGAAACCAATTGCAGGGTCAATGGAGTTTCAAGGGCTTCTTTATTGATTTTTCTTTAGGCAATCATAGTTTTGTTGGCGTTGCCGTAGAAATTAATCAACCCAAAATTGCACTCCAATTGGAACTCAATTGCTAGCTCAGCTTAGATTTTATACAACGCCTTCCAATTGGACTTTTCCGGCCTATGCTTATATAAGTGTCAAACAGCTTCAAGCTTTATTGATTGTGAAAAACGACGTCTTACGTTTGATTTCTTTGCAGCTGATAAGCTATACGATGTCAACGCCATGTGGCCAGTTGATTGAAGCCAACTTCCCAGCGATTACGTGCAGGTCGTTAATACACACACATATATATATATATATATGTTTATATTTATATGTATATAGATTGGCAGTTCTGTTATCGCTGCCTGATAGCCAGCACCGTCTCGTCTACTGCTACGATTATTTTCAATTGCATTTTAGTTGGAGCGCATGAAGTGCATCATAAAACTTGTTCAAACTGTTTTATTTACCTTTGCCTTTGGCTCTGCCTGCCGCTCTGCCTCTTCTGTCAAGGCTTTTGTTTCTTTCAACTTCAACATTTGCATGGCGAAGGCTGCGACTTGAGAACGGCTTGCGCAATTCTTTATATTCTTTGCTATTTATATATGTACATATATACATATATATATAAGTGTATATATACATATATTTGTAGTGTAAGTGAATTAAGCACTTGTAAAGCGGATAAGCTGCCCACACGCCAATGCCAATTGGGAACGGGTGATGACGCCAATGGTGTGCAGAGGGGGGCGTGGCAGTAGCAGGCAGCAGCAGCTAAACTGGAGGCTAGGCCCGTTGCGACGCTGTTGACCTTACTGCCACACAAGCCCAGCCAAAGCATAGTTGGCTGAATAACAAGTAAAGCACACACACACACACACACACATACACGCATATGTCTACACATGTGTCTAGTATCCGCTCACAGCAACAACAACAACAACAAGAGTCTCCAATTACTGCAACAAGCAAATAGTGGCAATCATTTGGCCAAGTCGCCAGTTGGCAGTTGGCCGATAGCCGATCGCCTCTATTCAGTTAACAATTTGCATTTTGCAAGCTCAAAAATGATTAATTAATAAATGCGCCTACTTGCGCAAAGAGCCGTCAGACAGACAGACGCATTCGAGTGGCTCGACGCCTATTCACGTTTCAATATATAGAATTTGTGTCATCGACAAAATAGATAAATAACAAAAACAATAACAATAACAATAATAACACCTACATGCGTTTGTTTGTATCAGTATTTATATAAATATATAGATATGTACATACATATATGCCAAAGCAGTTGGCGCAGCATCAGCAATTGCCTCATGCTAAGTCTTCGAGTGTTTTGATAAATTACCTAAGTCTGGCTAAATTATACAAATCAAAATGTCAATAAACAAGTCAGCCATGGGGCATAACAGGCTGCGCAATGCCCGTTTACTGGCCAATAACAATTTATAGCAAGTTTTATAGGCGATTTATGGAGGGGTTTATAAAAGGGTAGATTAAAATTTTTATGGATTTTTTTTTTTGTACTTCTTTTATTTTGATTTTTGCCTAACTAATAGACTCTCTTGACGCTCAGTGTATGCTTAACAACTTTGTCAAAATAAAAGAGATTTGTAATTAAATTTGACAACAGATTGAGCATGGGCAATTTGTAAGAGTCATGCGAGACTTGAAGTCTGTGATTCATCACAATTCAGAATGCTTATTAATAATATAAAATGCGTAATGCATTAGCTGTGCTTAAAATGAACTCACATAAGTCTAAATAAGTAAACAATAAATTGAATCTAAGTACTAACTAGCATTGAAAATGAAATCTCATCAGGCTTTATAGCTATACCATTTGATTTATCTATTTGTTTATCTATGATTGCAACTTTTAGGTCTTATACAGCTTTACACGTATAGAATTTGCATTAAAACTACATTTTATGACTAGGTCTCTGTAGGTATTTCGGATATATATTAGATATACAGTCTATGCATATTCCCCGTGTCGCGTGTCGTCAGCTTTGCGCGCATTGAGTTGTATGGATTGGCCCCGAAACGTGACTGGCATTTTGTCGATATTTCATATTGAGTGACGCTTGTCTTGGCCAGCTAACGGTATCGGCGTGCCATTAAGGGAAATACGCCGCATTTCGCATGTTTGCAATGGTGGATTCTCTTACTTCCGGCATTATATTTGTTTCACTTTTAGTTCTTGCATTGGCAATAGAAAGTGCGAAGGTGCGACCAATAGACCAGTCGCAGTTAGGGTAAGAGTTACAGTACAGCAGTTACAGTAGAGTAACACTAACATTAGCAGTAATAGCAATTATGCTACAATGTAATGAGAGTACAACATTAACAGAGAAATGTTAAAAAAAAGTGCTATTCAAATATAATTGATTATCAGGCTGTAACATAACATATTCTGTTAAGTGATTGTACGAACAGCCTCTAAGTATAGCCTACTCATCGTTGAAAATCTTATATATATAAATAAATATATATATACTTGTCTATAATGTGAAAGGTGTATATAGGTTGTATGCAATGCGATCTTTTTATTTTAAAGGCTACTGATGATGTTCGAAACATATAGAACTTAAAATATATACGCATTAAATATTATTAAATTAAATAAAATATTACATATTTTAAAAGATTTTTAGACGCTTCTTAAATTAAGTGCTACTAAAATTTAAACTTGAGATCTGAAGTACAAATACATTCGTATGGATCTTGTCACATATGTATATGCAGAAATTATGTTAGCTGCCCAGTAGAGCGTAAATCATTGTAGTGTTCTAAATTCAAGTATAAAAGAGCTCGTTGTAAAACTAAATTATTTCTGTGTGCATAATAATATAATTGTATTTTTTAAATCCATTTATATATATATATATTTTTTTTGTTTATTATTTTTTTTTATTATTGTTTTTTAATTATTATTTTATTTTATTTTTTATTATTATTATTATTTTTTTTTCTTATTTCTCATCATTTGTATATTTTTTTGTTACTTCTAATTGTTTTTTATTTATTATTATTATTATTATTTTTTTAATATATGAATTTTTTGTATTCACACTTTTTCATTTATTTAATGTAACTTTAAGTTCACCCCCCTTTAAGTTCACTTTATTTTATGTGACCTGACAGAGTTCTGGTTATTTGATATATGCTATATATAGTATCAAAGGGGGTGCTGGTCCTAAGCAATCATCTGGCAAAGTGACACACGACATACGTGGATTGAGTCATGTTAAATGACATCATAATAATTTGTAACCCTTTATTTTTCTGTCTGTCTGAGGCGAAACAACAACAGCTCGAACTCGCTTGAGACTAAATACATATATATGTATATATATCTGGTTAATAAACAAATGTAAATGCGATGGGGCACTTCAATTGGTAACATGCTAACAATAATAACAATCATTATAATGGATGGTGCTACGGTAGCGTTATCTATGTGATTTTTCGCTGATTTCTGATATGTCGAATCGTTAATTGACCTATGTAAACAGCAAAGTAAAGGTGTGAAAAGCGTTATCAGTAATAAAAGTTGAGGTTATTGACAAACGAACTCTATAAAATGTTATTTTAACAGAGGTGCATGGCATTAGGGGTATTCAGGCTGGCAAATATAAAAATAACAATATAAATTGTGATCAGCTGATGATAGATTAGTTACGACCTTGCGAAACGTAACCAGACCTGCTAGACCACTCCCTCTCTTTCTCCCAACCGTATTCCTCTCTCACTCTCTTTTGCACTCTTTGTCTTTATCTCACTTTCATTTAGCGTTTGGCTGCTCCCAACACGCTTTGCGGCTCTGCCTTTGCCTATTTATGGGCATGTTTTGTGCTTCGTTTGCCAATTCAATTGTATTTGCCGTATTCTTATCACGGCCCTGACGCTGTTGATTTGTGGCAACCGATTGATTACTCCACCCTTAATCAATTGTGAAAGATATTTAACAATCAACGATGAAGCAAAAACAAAAATAAAATATATATATAGGTGAATTCTTCTTGGATATTTACTATATGTAGCTCAAATTTTGTTATCTTCGATAAGAGCGCTTGAAGCGGGTGTGTCTGACTAAGAGTTGCCCTGCAGCTAGTGAGCATAGGCTTACGTCAAAGAAGAACTTTCTATAATTTCGTCATTTTATGAGTTTGGGTAGAGTGGAGAAGGCATTTAAAATATGACTTACTGGATATTCCTATTTTATATATTTGTACATATATACCCAATTTAGTATTTATTTATCTCTCTTTGAAAAACTAAAGTTCGATATTTTTATCGATTTCATAAAAATAGAAATGTTTATCGATCACTTGTCTTTTACCTTGCATATGAAAAGCAGTACAAATAAAGAGATGAAAGGAAGAATAGAGAGAGGGACTAGATTATCACGTCTAATGCTCCTGGTGAAAAATACATATAATTAATACTGTATAATAATACTGTAATACTGTACTTGATAGACTCAGCCCCGCTTTTCCCAAATTCAATGTGCTTGAGGAAGTCGCTATATGATGAATATATGTATGATTCATTTCCGTCTCTATATCTCTACTTCTATTAGTTTATGAACTGTGATAGACATGGACAGATTATAGACTGATTGTTAAAGAGGTCTTGATAGGGTGGATTTCTTTTAAAGGTAATATTCTTAAGCAAACATTAAAAATAAGAAGAAGACAATAAACCTTACATTCACACATTTGTGAAATCTTTCAACACAAAACTTTGAAGCATTCAATAATCATAATTGAAATTCAACTTTCGGCTGTTAGGGTTTTACGTTTTTTGGAAGGTTTAGGGCTAGAATCGGTTGAGCCATTCGCAAAATGGACAACTGATTGTAGAATGTCAGTGCATGCTGTAATTTCAATGTGTTTTCCTTTGTACATTTTTCGGCAGTTGTGAATCGTGTAAGAGCCAAATTAAAGAAGTTGCTTTGTTTTGTTTTGCCTCCTTCTTGTAGAACATCAGCAGCAGCAGCAGCAGCTCCAGCAACAGCAGCAGCAGCAGCAGAAACGTCGACGCTTCCATCCGCTGCGGAATTTGCGTCGAATCTTTCGACGTCGCACCATCACTAGCGCCGACACTGGCGCAGCTGGCGGCGCTCAGGCAGGAGGAGCAGGAGCTGGTTCGATTGCTGCACCTGGATCGGGATCGTGCAACACTTTGCCGCCACCGGCGAGCAGTTCCAGTGAGAAGAATTTGCGCAGCGTTGCGCTAGGTGGTGGCTCGACAGCAGCGGAAGCTGCATCGGCATCCTCGCCAGCATCGCCGCTCACGCATCAGCAGCTCCACGAGAGCTATCAGACGCAATCGTTGCCCAAGTCCAAGTCCTATGGTGCCCATCGCGATGAGTTGCTGAGCGTGCTGCTGGGCAAGAAGAGAGGGGCTAACAAGCATATGAACAGCAGCTTGGAGCAGCCGGTCCAACCGCCTCATAGCCACGCCCACAACCACACCAACACCCACACTCACGCCCAAACGCAGTCTCAGTTGCACTCCCACTCGGACGCCATGTACCAAACGCAGCGACCGCAAATGGGCGTGGCCGTCTTCCCGGACGCCATGAGCATGAGTCGCAGTGCGTATTTCGCCGAGAAGCAGCGCAGTCACCATCATCAGCGCCAACTGCGCAGCGTTGGCGACTCCTCGCAGGATCTGGATCTGGCCGAAGACATTGGCGCCGCGGGCGGTGCAGTCGACATGTCCGACAGCCAGCGCAGTCTCAGCGAGGAACGCTTGCTGGACGTAGACGTGGACGGGTAAGTCTACCCAAAGATTCCCCTGAGTTACCATCTCTTACAATCTGCTGCTTCTTCTTGTTCTTCTTCTTGTTCTAGCAGCAGTGGTTACACACGTGAAACTCTCTCCCAGTCCCATGACAGCGTTTTTTCCGAATCCGCTACAGCCAGCAGCCTTTCCATCGTGCTGAGGGTGAGTTCAATCAACTGTAACATAGTTACTTCATTCGATAAGATTAGATATGCGAATCAGACATGGTTTAAATTTAATTTGTTAGACATCAGCACTTGACTTGACTTGAGCTTCTTATCAAATGCGTGACAAATGGCGTCGAGTTAGGCTTTTAGTGGGAAGTGTCCATAGTGGAGTAGTGCTTGAAGAGAGTGAGATCTGATATTGACTTGGGATTAATGATAGTAGATTGATTTATTGGAGGAAAAGATCTAAGCATGGAAGAGGATGATCTACTTATAAGAGTATAAAATTATTGAGTATGGACAGACGGAAGAACGAACCGAAGATTGAACAGACGAAAGGGCGGACTGACAGGCGAACAAATCTTTCTAGCATGAGAGAGAAAGAGAGGGGAACAGATGTGGACACGCTTAAAGCGACTCTGACTTTGATCTATAATATATTTATATTCATTTTATGGACTCAAACACACATAGAATCAACAACAATATACACTTGTTTTGCAGAGATCAAAAATGCCTTATAAACCGAGCTTTTAAATAAAATGTAATACAGTCGAGTCTTGATAATTAGAAATGGCACACAGAAATTCAAATTATTGAGAATTATCGAAAACGAATTTTTTTAAGGGGATATAATTTTTTTTTCGATTTACCGCGATATAAACTATCGGGAGTCGACTGTATAAGCCCGTGAACTCGTTAATTACTTGATCATGAAATAGTTAGTCATTCGATCAATTATTAAAACTGGGCATCCAATTTCTATTTTTAAATTTCTTAAAAATAATCTCTATATCCTCACATTATTTTCTATACCTTTGCATAAATTAATTTTTATCGTTATGAAGAGAAGAGACCATTTCATTATTTGGCATATCTATAATAAATCTTAGATATACTATATAATTCTAGCAGTATGCATATCTTTCCTATTATATAAATATGTAGTTGGCATATCTATAATAGACCTTAGTACATAGTATATAATGGGAATTCTTGCAGTTTATTGAGCGGTTGGAATATCTTTGGCATACCTATAACAGATCTTGGGTAGTCTTTCAGTTCTGTATAATTTTAACTGTTACCTAATTTCAAATTTCGGGTTCGATTACTGCTACAACTCAAACTGGAAACTCCAAATTGCTGAGCACACACACGTACTTGATAAAGAGCTCTGCTATTAACACATACTCAATGTGATTAACGCGTTAAGTTATTTTTGGGCCACTCATATCGATCCGAACTCCTAAATTGCCCTTGTTGAAATGTACGTGACTCAGCAGCAGCCGCAGGAGGAGCAGGAGCAGGCAACCCCATAACAAGCACAACCCCAAATGCAAGAGGCGATTTGGTGAAGGGTTGTTGTTGTGCCAGCCGCTTCATGTGTGCCCCACTTGGCGTACTTCATTTGATGGCTGCTGACTCAGATTGACTGCGCATCATTTCAATTGATTTCAATCAAATTCAATTTGCTTGGATTTTCATATGGAGCAGTCATGGAGCCATGGGCTGGGGTGGCATCAATGCAATTGGTCATCGACCCAGTCAACATTGTTTGTCATCTGGGAAGTCGTCAAATCTGTGAACGTGCATTCAATTGAGTTGCAGTTCAAGTTACAGGGTATCGCCCGTACAGGGTGTGAGCAGCTGTTAATGGATCTATTGATGATCAGCGCGAGTCAGATTTGTTGCTCAACATGGAATAATCAATTTGAGAGGCAATTGAAGTAGTTATAGGGTATAGGTTTACCATATTTATCTTTTAAAATGATAAAGCATATGGGGTTATCTCTGCTAATAGAGATTTTCTTTAAGCAAACTATTCTAGCTTAAATTACAGGGTATACCCAGAGCATGTCGTGTTTGTTTTTCGTTTTGTTTATAGTTTCTTGATTTAAGCTCTATTTGTAGAGCAAATCATTGTGGCTCACATTACAGGGCTTCATTCATTCATATGTTTCCAAATTACAGGGTATAGCTAGGCCATTTCTTTTTGCTGCTGATTTAAAATTTTACTTACAAGTTTCATCCTTGTATATTAATTCTTTTCGCAAAACTAAAAAACAGTCTTATTTACAGGGTATTGTTAATGTAGGTCAATTCTGCAATAGAGCTGAGTTTGATAAGCAAATCATATGAATCAATTAATTACAGGGTATAGTCAGAACAGTTCTCTTTAAATCTCATTTAAAATTTTAGTTAAACTTTTCATCATTGTATATTGAATCACTTGGCAAAACTGAAAATCACTCGTATTTACAGGGTATCCTTTGAACAGTAAATCGTATTTTTTTAAATTATAGGGTAGACTCTAAATATATCAGCAGCAGTTCTTTATTGAGTTGACTCGTACTATATTATTCATTCATATCATGGTATTCATTTACAGGGTATCGCTAGAGTAGGTCACCCACTCAGCAGCTCTCTGGATGTGATCTGACGTCGCTTGAGTTTGTTTCTTGACTTTGCAGTTGCAGTTGCATAAGCCAACTTTGGTGTCGACGTCCGCGCCAGTTTCGACTGCATAATCAGCGAGTGAGCAGAAGAAATGCAGAGGCTGTCCCCCCCCCCCAGTTGGGGCGCCCGTTGTGTGGCTTTGCAGTGCAATAGTCAAATGCCCCCAAGCCACTGCATAGCCGGCAGCTATCGGACGGTTACTGTTAGTTAGACAACTTGCTTCGACTAGCTGCAGCTGCCAGAGTGCCAGAGTGACAGGGGGCTGCGGAGGGGGCGTGGGCATGCGGTTGGGGGCTACTCTTTTGGAGCAGCGCGTGGCAATGTGTGGCTTCGCTCCCTCGTCGACGGGCGTCCGCCTCGGCTTCTAATGCTTCTTCAATTTCTGGCCAAACGAGTTACTGCTGCCTGCAGCTCGGCTGCATTCGCCCATCGCCGGTTGCTGCTTCTTGTTATTCCACTTTTTCCACTTGACTGTCAGTTAGCCGCTTCTCTGCTCGTACCATCCTCCCTCCTCTCATCCCTCTCTCTCTCTCTCTCTCTCTCTCTCGCAGTCCAGTTGTCGGCTTATTTGCCAACCTGGTTAGCAGCAAATCCATTGCATTTCTTTTCTGTTTCTATGCTATTGAACTCCTGCTAAGTTTTCCGCTAAATCAGTTTGCTACGAGACGTCGACAACGCTGCGCGCAAGAAACTAAACTCTATTCAATGGCTAAATAAATAGAATTTCGAAATTGCCAAAGTGAAAAAGTTCTATTACATAGAGAAAGAAGTCTCTGGTGTATTTCATTGTGTGTGTGAGAACTGTGCCTTTTGTGTTTCGATTGTAGATAAAAAGCTCGTCTACTTGAATATTGTGACATCTCTTATCGCTAGCCCGAGAGAGCTAGATATCTAGCGGGGAATATATATATGATTCATATGGGCATAAATCATTTATAGAATATTTTGATGATGATTTTGATTCCAGTGAATAAGACTTGTTCTGCACTTAAGTTTTGATGATAGATAGAGAGAGAGAGAGAGGGGGGAGTATAGCATAGTATTGGAAGCTGCCAATCTTTAACTCCATCAAGAAATTCGTGATCTTTAAACAAAAAAATTGATTTCAGAGAATATTTAGGTATAACCATCGAGAATACAACAGATTTCATAATAACATCCGAGAAATTATTTTTAAAATTTTGAAAATAAAGAGAGGAAAAATGAAATGAGAAAGAGATGGCTTGTTAAGCTTAGGTATTTGGAGCTATTAAATCAATAATATATGAGTCAAGAACAAAATTTACTTTGTAGAACTGTTCTGATATACAGATAATTTTATATAGACTAAAAATTATTGCTTTGAGCTTTACATATTAATGAAATAATATAATATCTAAGACGCAGATTAAACGAGTTTGGATAGTATAGAATGATGGGATTAAAAAGAGTTGAGCTTAAAGAGCTCAAAACAGAATAAAATGAATCAGACGCAAAAATTCCACTGAATCTTTTAGATGTACAAAATTAATCTTTGCAGAGTTTTAAATTATAGAGAAAAAATATAAAAAATATCAAACGATAAGCTTCTACAGCTGGATTGATAAACTGCTTTCAACCCAAGCAAACATCATAATTGAACTAATTATCTAGGAAAGCCACATTCTATAAGCAATTAGGCATAGTTGGGTCTCTTGGTTAATTAGGGTAAAGGCTTCAGTTTCCTGCGACTCTAGAAGCGCTTAAGCCTGGACAAGACTTGCTATAACCAGTTTGAATGGAGAGACAGAGATATAGAGACAGAGTGAGACCCTCTCTCGCAAAGACTCTAGATAAAATATAAGTAGAAAGAGAAAGAAATCTAGTTGATGTCCATAATGGGGGCAATTGAACGAGAAACGACAAGCGACGCAGTCATTCAATTTTCACTGTACGACCGAAGAAATGTCCATTTGATGACAGCCATATGGTAACACGGTAACACGCATTGCATTGCGCTAGCGAACGAGGCTGCTGGAGCCTGGGCAGACACACATCAACAGCCAGTTAGCGGATGGGAGGGAGGGGGGAGACATGGAGCAATGGAGCTTGGAGACAACATGCAACGTCAATTCACACGCTTTACTTTAATTGCCTGGCTATCAGGCAGTAGTCTGGCCTGCTGGAGAGAACGAGAGATGAGAAACTGGATGCACTAAACCCGTTTGCATTTGCCTAGCCCGTAGGACTTTTTGGCCCCACACTGTCCGAATCAAACGTTCACATCAGCCAATCCAATTGCAACGACCCAAATTCACAATTTCATATGCTTATTTATCTTTTCTTTTTTTTTTTTGGTAAATCAGACTTCCCGTTTGGTAGACTTGCATATTGCATAAACATTTGATTTACATGCGATTTCGGCGTTTTCCGTATGCAGCTAAAGCTGATCGAGCTAATATTTGTGAATGCCAAAAGAGTTTACTTTGGATGAGAACTGCTAAAGATAAGACTGATCTAGTATTTTGTTTAGAGGAGATAATATATTTTGTATACCCTAAGCTCTCTAAATATGGGATATAAGGCTATAATAAACTTTTGAGAATTTTAATAATAGGCAGAAGGCGTAACAGACCGCCTCTTGATCACATCTGCAGGCTTAATCTATTCAGCAATGTTCGTCTCTACCTCCGTCCATATGAACGCATCGATCCCGTAAACCACAAAAGCTTTAGACTGCAATTTGAATTCTATACCCGTGTATAGCATAAATAGCAAGAATTAATTATTCTTTTTTCGATAGCTCCGCGTAAAATTTCTTAATATCGATAAATGTCGAGCTCATAAACTAAAAAAAGCTAAAGAGTCGACTTAAAGACTTATTCCACACTATATATAATTATTATAAATATATTTGATAAGCAATAACATTTCCTTATCGATGAAAATCGATAAATTGATATAATTAATTTAATTACAGCTCTTGTTATACGTAACGAGACGTTAGAGATTTTAAAATCACTTTGCATTTCCGTACAATAAAATCATTATTGTTTTTATCGTCCTTACATATACATACGATACATATCGTACATATCGCATACATATGTATGCGTAGAGTACAGGGTATCTCCTAGTGCAGCAGTCTGCGCTAAAGTTTATTCTTAGTTGTGCATCTCCCTTTTCGTCTTCCATTTTATATATAGGAAAAAAGCTTGCTAAATCGCAATGAGTCAGTAAATTGTTTAGCTCTACCTTTAATATTTTGTTGTCTTACACCTGCTGCACGCTCGTGGCACACAGCTGGCGGCTGAGCTGTTGTAATCTGTGGCAGGCGGCGGTTAGCCCAGCTAGTTGCATGTTAAGCCAAGCCAAGTCACTGGCCACTGGCCACTGGCCACGAGTTGGCCCACTCGGCAAAGTGTGCCAATAAATCATGAAATGTGACGAGCCAGCGACCATTCAGGTAGCCGCCGCAGCTACCTTTGCGATGTTGAGAATAGCCGTGGATTTCCTATATGTAGGACGTGCTACCTGCTCGAGCAGGTATTATGAAACTCTCCATTGGAAACATTTTTGCTGAATTATTGGATGCGATTGAGTATCGGGTGTATTGAACTCGCCTTAAAATGCGTTTTCAAATTTTCGGTTGTATATAATTTGAGGAACGAGGTCTTTAACCTAAGCGCATGAAATCCTTAGAAACATGGACGAAAATAGTTTAAAATAGACAGGAATTATGCTGCCTTAAGTGCAGCGTGCTCCCCACGCGTTATGCCTCAGAGATGCTGATTAATTCAAGAGGCTGGAGCTGTGGAGTCTACGAAGTGTCTAACGGAGCTATATAAATAGAGAGAGATAATGGAGGGGTAGAGAGTGAGAGAGATATATATGATGATTAGTTCAAGAAGCTGAAGTCAACAAAGTGTCTAGCGGAGCTCTAAAAATAGTCAGAGGTTGAGCAAGAGAAAGAGAGAGAGAGGGTAAGTGAGGGAGTGTGTGTGTGAGAGAGAGAGAGAGAGAGATCTGCTGATTAGTGCCAGAAACTAGAGCTGTACTTGGAGGAAGGAAGTGTCTAAATATGGAGGGATTGACGAAGAGAGAGAGGGAGAGAGACAGAGACAGAGAGAGGTGGTAAGTGAGGGAGTGTGTGTGACAGAGATACAGAGAGAGATGCTGATTATTTCAAGAAGCTGTAGCTGGAGCATAAGGAAGTGCCTAAATAGGGAGAGATTGATAAAGAGAGAGAGATAGAGAGAAAGATATATAGAGAGGGGATAGGTGACGCAGTCTCATAGAGAGAGAGAGAGATATGCTGATTATTTCAAGAAACTGAAGTTGGAGCATAAGGAAGAGTCTAAACAGAGAGAGGTTGGGTCGCGAGGGGAAAGCTGTTGCATTTGTTTATTCGAGTTGCCTTACCCTTGAAATGCCATTGCCGATGACAATAAACAGATTTCCCAGCGCTGCCTGCGCGTAGCGCCCAATTATGTGTTCGACTAGTTAAAAGTCGTTGAGATAGCATTTCACAGGCCGATGCAATGGCATTGTTATGGCCACATCTGCTGTTGAGGGTGCTGTTTATGCGGCATATGCTGCTTGCTGCCTGTTGCCCCGCCAGCTGTCCGTCCGTCCATCCGTCCAACCATCGTTCGTCTATTTGCCTGCCCTGCCCTGCCTCGGCACAATTCAGTTTTAGTTGCACATTGCACTTGGTCGCGCTCACATCGTCTCTCTATCTCACTCGGAGTCTCTCTGGGTTGTGGCAAGAAAGTGAAATTTGTTTGTTGGATCGCGTGTGGCTGCCTCGTAACAATAGCCCTTATTAGTTAATTGTCGAGCGTGTTGGAGGGAAAAGCTACATTTCGTTGCATCTCAATTGATCCAAAATGGTAGCCGGAAGTGCGGGCAGCCGCAACATTCAAAGCAATCCATTTCAGCTTTCGTTTTCGGTAAGACCCACAATATTCAAGTAGAGCTCTTATCTAAGGCTAAACGGTCTTTTGACGCCTCGTCTCCGGGTAGAGGCTGTCGAAATGATTGACTTTAAGCAGAATCCGTTCAAAATGCGCCTGCCAGGAGCAGCAGGAGGCGAGAGTCGCCTCAGTCGCAGTTGCCTGCGTGCACGCCTAGTCTTTCGCTGGAAGAGCTGGGTAAAGCCAAGAGTTGGATTTAAATAACTATAAAAACAAATATAAAAATTATATTTAAAATATATCTAAATATATTCCATATTAATAACGGTTATTTCCTTCGGCAGGCCGAGCTAACAGATGTGCTGCGCAAGCGTCGAAATAGGCCCGATGCCTCGGACGAGGATCTGGGCCTGCCGCGCAGCCCCGTCTCGCCGCAGCGTCATGCGGCCGCCGGGCAGAGCCGCAAGGTGGCTGGCTATCAGCCACGCGAGGTGTCCTCCCTGAGCCTGCTGAGCGTCAACAGCACCGATGGCGAGGACAGCAGCCAAGGCCATAGGCAGCACGCGGACAACGGGCTCGGTTCGGTGGTGCTGCGCGAGCGACAGGAGGAGGACGACGACGTGGATGCCGTGGGCGTGGAGCGACATCGGCTCTCGCATGCTGCGGCCAAACACAAAATGGCCATACGGCCCATGAAGAAGATGCCCACGCGGCAGCACAGAAGGACGCTAGAGGTAAGTCAGCAGAGAATGAATATATATGTATGTATATGATATATCCCCTAAGTAAACCCGACCATAAATAATATATATGACTTTCTTTCTAGACTTCAATACCTGAGGCCAACGAGGAGCTAATTAAGCTGCAGCTGACTCAGGCGCCCAATCCCAGCTTGCGGGCTGTTAAGGGTAAGCATAAATAACATTGCCAATTGAGTAACAGTAGCTAATGCTCGCTCTTTGCAGAAATGGATCTTAAAACAAAGACGCGCTCTCTACCTCCGGGCAGCTCGCTGTCTGCCACCACAACAGCCACTGCCAACAGTAGCAACAACACCACCAACACCACCAGCAGCAGCAGGAGCCACTCCAAGACAATCGAGCAGAAGAGCTCAACGATTACGAATATCAGCAGCAGCAGCAGCAGCAGCGAGCGAACAACATCCTCGTCCACATCCACATCCACGTCGTCCTCCCAGGCGTTTGGGCTGCGTGCGCTCACCTTTAAGGCGGCCAATGCGCTGTTCGATGGGCGTGGCGAGTCGTCAACGGATGGCGATGATGTGACCACAGCCACAGCCACAACGGAGTCCAGCGAACACGGATTTCTGCGTCGGCTCATGCAGCGCAACTCGAAGCGCAGCATTGCGCGTGCCAACGATGGCCTGGAGGATGTGGACACCAGCCACCAGAATCTGGCCAAGAAACTGCAGATCTCGACCTCCTGCCTGGAGGCAACGGCGCGTGAGCCGGTGCCGCTGCCCAGCAAATCGCGCAGCGCCACCTCACACGAGCAGAACATACAGGAGACGCGGCAGATCATCAAGCGCGAGATTCATAACGAGGGCAAGCACGGACTCAACGCACTGGTCAGCAACTACGGTGTCCAGCCGCAGCCGCCCACCGCCGTGAAGCCCAAGTCGGGGCCAGCGGCGCGCCAGCGTTACCTGCCCAAGGAGCTGGGCGCTGGCCTGGACAAGCCGCTGCCGACGAGCGACAGCGACGTCACCAATCTGCTGTCCAAGAGCTCGCGCGGCAACGACACCTTCCAGTCGACGGCCCTGGTGCGGGAGCAGGCGCAGCTCAGAGCGGAGGCCAGCACAACGCACTTCGAGCGCAAGCCACGCATTGTCGGGCTGAGCGCGTTCCAGCAGAAGCTGTCGCGGTCCAGCGACTCGATGGGCCAGCACTCGAGCTCCTCGAACTCGCTGGAGACCAGCACGGACGAGCCCTCGCCGCTGTACTACGAGGAGAAGCAGCGCAAGACGGTCGAGAAATCGCGCAGTTTTCGCAACTATCAGGAGGAGCGCCACGTGGCCAACGAGTCGGCAGCGATGCACAACAATATGCCCAGCCTGCCGGATCTATCGATCAGCTTCCGTGTGCCGCCCGCCTACTACAAGCAGCAGCAGCAGCAGCAGCTGCAGCAGCAGCAGGAGTCGCCTCGTTCACCCATGTCGCCCATATCACCGAATGGCAAGTGCGTCTCGTTGGGCTTTGAGATCAACGACAATAAGCTGCTGCAGGCGCGAGCCGAGTCCACGGGCAAGCTGGCCAGTGGGCAGGCGAAGGTCTCGCCACAGCGCAGCTCCACGCTGCTGGTGCCCAGTCCGGGCCCGGCGAACATCTCGGAGATCGAGCAGAACATCGATCTGATTGTCAAGTCGCCGATGGTCAGTTTGCTGCGCAAATCCGGCGCAGTTGGGGAGCAGAAGTCGCCGCAACGTCCCAAGGTGCTGGAGCTGAAGCAGACGACGACATCCAGCATTGCCCTGGGCTCGCCCGGCAAGGAGGCAGTCCAGTGCGCTAGTCCAGTGACCAAGAGCCCACCAAGCACGCCCAGCAAGGGCGCGCCACGCAATACGAAAAATGAGGCAGAGCCCGAGTTTATGAAGATCCAGCTGAATCGTGTCGATCCGGCACAGCTGCACAGCAAGGCCAATCATCTGGTGCTGGCCAAGAATGTCAAATTGTCGCCAGCCACGCCCACTGAGCGCAGCCAGAGCAGCGACGATCTGTCCATGCGACGCCTCAGCGCCGAGAGCGCAAGCAGCATTCACATAGTCGAGCGTCCCACGAAGCCGCTCAGCAGTGCCAACAACAGTCCCGCCAGTCCCGCCCAGCCGTCACCCAGTATTAGCCAGCCAGCACCAGCCGAGCTGCGGCTGGCCAAGCAGCAGCGGGCCGCCAGCGCCAGCAGCCTGCGCGCCAGCTATGTCAGCAGCAGCAGCAGCTGCAGCTGCAGCGGCGGCAGCAGCGAGCTGCTCGCGACGCCCGGCACACCAAAGAGCAGTGGGACGAGGCCAACGGCGGAGGCTGTGGAGCAGGAGAAGGCCAATGGCAATGCCAATCGGCTCTCGCTGGAGGAGCGCAAGCGTCTGTTTCTCAATGAGGAGAAGTCGCAGGCGGAGCGCAAGTTGACGGAGCGCAAGAAGCTGATTGGCGAGGCCACGCCCCCAGTTACGCCCACCACACCAGTGACGCCCAGTGGGCCGGATGCCAGCAATGGCAATGGCAATGGCGTGGTGCTGCGCAAGAAATCCTTTGCCAGCATCAATGGCAATAGCAATGCTAATGCCAATGCTAATGCTAATGCCAATGTGAATGGCAATGCGAACTCAACGGGCCAGGAGGATGCCACGCCGGAGCTGATGAAGGTCTTTGCACGTCGTTCACTCAAGGTGAAGGATGATGATGTGGTGGCCATGGCTCAGGTGGCCGTGGCGAATCACAAGAAGATGTGCAATGGCAGCCAGAGCGTCGATAGCGATAAGGAGAACCAGTCGAACAGCGAGGAGAAGCTGGACAAGCTGACGCCCAACAATGAGCCGACGAAGCTGGTCCAGTCGAACAGTCATGCACATGGCCACGCCCACAGCCACACTCACGCCCAGGCGCCCGGCAGCAATCGCAGCACTGTGGCGGATTTTCGCAATCTCAATAACAACAACAACAACAACAACAACAACAATGTGCAGTCGGCGCCACAGAAGTTGTCCAATCTGCCGCCCATAAAGGTGAGCAATGCGCGCAATGCCACAGTCAACAGCAACAACATTAGCAACATCAGCAACAGCAACAACATCGGCAACAGCAGCAACAACAAAAACAACATCAACAAGGCCAACAATGCCAGCAGCAAGCCGGCAAGCGAGCGCTACTCACTGCAGCTGAAGCCAGCAACAACAGCAATAACAACAGCAGCAGCAGCAGCGGCAGCAGCAACAATTGTCGCAACAGATACAGATGCCACGCCCACCAAGCCCATAGAGCGCTCCGCAACAGTGGGCGAATTTAAGGGCATTCACCAGCGACGTGCAGAGTGGGAGCAGCGTGTGAAGGAGGCGCTCAAATAAACCACTGTTAGCCTAACAGTGGCGACGACAGAGTGAGCGCTGTTAACTAACAGAATCGCGGTACCTGCTGTTGATGCTCTGTTATCTAGTGATGCTCTCTAGTAGTAGTGTAAACGAATACAACTCTAAAGCAAACGACAACAACTAATGACTAAAAAGAAGTAGAGAAAAGAAACACAAAAGAAAAAGAACAAAAAAAGAAGAGTTAGACAAGGAAAGGACAAGAATAATAATATTAATATTAATCATGTTAGTACATATTAAACGAGTTGGCTGTTTGAGCCCATCCAAAGAAACGAGTTGCGTCTTCGATCGATCTTCAAAATGATTAGTTTGTTTGGCTTACCGTTAATATATAGTTTTTGCGTTTCATTTGTGTTAGTGCACGTCAAAATCTTATATAAAAAAAAATAATAATAATAAATAAAATAAAAAATTAAAATGTAATTGAAAACTAGAACAGACAACTTGAAGGACTGTGAGTTAAATTTACAAATAATAATAGTAATTCCTTATGATATTCTACGAACAGCTCTGATCTTGATTTGCTGTAAAGCTGATATTCTCCCTCTCTCTCTAACTAACTATCTATCTAATGTAAGCAACTTAATGTGTAGACAAATGCGAGCTTTTGAACAGGATCAATTTCCGTAACAACTCTAATAATATCTGTAATAGCATTTAATCTATTATTTTCATAGCAATATAAAAAAAAAAAAAAAAAAACTAAAAAACTTAAAACGATATATATACATAATTGTGAAAAAAATCTTTTTTGGGCTTTGTAAACCTTATGAAAAACTGTTCAAGTTTGTGTAAATTCTATATATACATATATATATATATATATAGTTATCAACTATTGAGCGCATATAATATACTGACAAATATGAGATATATCTATATATATATACAATCAAATTTAATTAACCTGTACGCTCGCGGAGCATCTATTTCAACATATACAAATAAAAACGAAATACTTGAATGTTAAACAACGGAAATCAATTTACAAGTGTTTTCATCTTTTACTAGCTTTTAAGTCTAACTCTAGGGTTGAGCTCACGCCTGTGCCGTTTATAACTGGGCATGTTTTCTGTAGAGCTTTTTTTGAGACTCTTCCGGTTCTATTAACAGTTGACTTTGCTTGACCTCAGAATTCAAGTTCTTAAATAGATCCCAAGTCGGCGTACTTACTCAGTTAGCATATGAAGAGAACTATCTTACTATATAATCTTAAAGGTAAGTACTATATCTTTCTATATCTAAATATATATCTATAATATAAAAAGCGTCTAGGTTGCTTATATGATTTAGCAAATATATGTATGTATATTCCCTGATGTTTGCATATAAATAAATACCATTTAACTTAATTGAACTATTAGTTAGTAGTTAACTACATGAAAATTTATATCATATTATGAATGTATGACAATTCATTGCTGTCTCGGATATCATAATTTAAATACATAATTGATATATCTATATATCGTTTGTATATTTCTAGGCAAACTAGTTGCTTTCATCATAAAATATTGCCGAATTTCCCCTCTCTGTGTTTTGAAAAGCAAATAATTGTTTTGCTAAAATTTGGCGCAGCTTTCCAAAAATATAAAATATAAATAAATAAACAAAATTATAAAAAAAAAAGATGCAAACGTGAAAATGAATGCCAAATTTTTGGAAACTTTAGCTTTAGTGATGTTGGGAATATGATTTAATAATTTATTTATTTTTTTTTTTTTTAACTTTATCAGTCTTATAAAGAGAATGAAATCTTAAGCTCTCTGACAAAAATGCATATAGATTTATTTATTTTTAAAATCCCCATTTCAGCCATCTACTTACTTTTCCTCATATACATACATACATATATTCTGCGCTTTTGCTATTCACATATTTTTGCAGCTTTGCAAAAATTGCAATTAGAATAAAAAGCCTTGATGTCCGATCAAGTTGCCATGGAAAAGAGATGCCAAATGCAATGAGTTTAATTATTTTTGGTTTATGGTGGGAGTATAAGTCTATATATAATATAATTTATATATATATAAATATATTTGTACAAATTTTGTTAAAGCACAAAAAATAAATGAGGAAAAATTGGAATTCATTAGTGTCAAGCGCTGAATAAATGAGAAAAACCAGAATAAATATATAAATAACAATTTGTAGTTTGGCTTATATATTAGTTAAATACATACATACATACTTTATATGTATATGTATGCATAGACAGAATTTACGCATTAGCTTTCATGGGAATATAATTTAAATAATTTGATGATGATGATGATTCACAATAACTCGGGTTTAATTAGCTAAGAAGCTGGCATCGCCAACTGGACTCCTGCTCATAGCTGCTAAAGTCAGTTCAAGTTCATTTTGGCAAATTTACTTAATCCGTCTTATTCCTGCTTGCTGTTGACAAGAAATGCCGATGGCCAGAAAGAAAGAATAACAAAAACAAAAACAAAATAAATAATAAGTAGAGACAGCAACAAATCGTTAAGAGATCGTTTGGAGCAACAGCTAAGCGCCGCACGGCCAGCCGATGACCTCATGGATGGCCCATGCCATCCATTGACGGTGTCGTCACAGCTGTGCTCGCTCGTTCGCATCGCCGAGATTCGACACAGAACGCTGGGTGCCTTCATTAGTTTGAGTTTAAATCAAGAACGAGACGGACGGCAGCGATCCGAGAAATCTGTGCGCTCATTGAGTTTAAAATAATACGAATATGTGCTAGCCAACCAAGCAAGCGCATGGACTAGCCGAGAGCGTGAGCGTGAAGAGTGTCATGTGTTGAAATTATAGCAGCTAAGAAAGTACATATACTAAATAAGTAAATATATATATATATACAAATAGATATATATTTGGTGAAATCATGCAAACACAACAAACTGCAACTCCGAGCACTCCGCCGCCGTCGCGTCGCTCCAATCGGCCGCCGCGCATCAACATTCACAATATACAGAACAACTATGGCACCTCTCCGGTACCGCCAAGTGCTCAGCTGCACACCTCAATGACCAACTACACGGCTCCCAATTGGCCGCCCATGTCGAATCCCTTTGGCCCTGGGAACTTCATGACCAAAGGCTACGAGGGCTTCCTTGATCTCACAAAGTCCGGCCTGAGTTTTGGCGAGAAATTCACCTTCTCGATGTACAACAAGTTCAGCAAGTGGTCCAGACGATGGTTCACACACATGTTTCTGCTGATAATACTCGCCCTCTACAACATTGGTGGGGCAAAACTATTTCAAACTGTCGAACGTAAGTGGAGATGATGAAGGATGAAAGGCATATGAAAGTGGATCTGTGATAGTCAAGTGAATCAGATCATAGACAGAAATGTATAAATGATCCCCAGAATAGTTGATCTTTTATAGTGAAGTAGGTGTGAAGATCTTTAACTACATGGGTGATCTGTGATATGCTAAAAATATAAAAGTAAAGATTAATTATTAATAATCTATAGATAAGTATCATTGATCAATGATCTTTGATCGTCAAGCTAATTGGATTACAATTAACTTACATATATACATATGTATATGATTAGCATTATTCAAATAGAGCAGATTAGATGATCTCTGAGAGTCAATTAGATTAAAGTCCCTCAATATAGGAAACGAATATATGATCATGTTCTGAGCATAGATCTAATATAGATCTGAATATATAAATATAACAATATATGAATATATGTAAAATATTGTCTCTGATAATCAGATCTATGCTCAAAACATCCGTGATCTTCAAGATTATCAGAGAAATTGGATGACCTTAAATATTCATTGACCTCAGAGTAAATCTGATCTATGATAGACAAAAGGGGTAGGAAAGCATATATCAAACAGAAGAGAGATTTTCAAAGAGATCAGTGTACTAAATTAATGATCTCGTGACGTAAAGGAGCTGAAATAGAAAAGAAAATCAAAGTAATTTATACTCAATTAATAATAACAGATAAAAGTACTTCATTGATAATCTCTGATCTGATCTAAGTAAATGATCTCAAATATATCAATAGCCGAAATACCTCGGCATCTTTCAGGAGATGAACCAGTCACGTCCGCATAAACAATCTTTTCGATGATTTGTTTGCTTATCAAGCACTTAAGCAATTGTTTTGAGAATAGTCTAACCAAACCAGGAACTAAGGAAAATATACAAATAAAGCTGTTTCTATGGCAACATGCTGGATCGTAAAATTCATACTCGATTCAAACTGAATTCGATGTCTTGGAACAATATATATATATATATATAGATACATATATACAAAGATAGGTAATTAAGTCAACGAGCGCTGGAAAGGCTATAAAACAATGAAGCATGCATATGTATATATATATATATGTATTTTATATACAAATACATAGCTCTAGAGGTATATGAATCATGGAGAATCGTCGCTAGGGCTGAGAAAGTTGTTTGGCATAAACAATTGGCCAAGAAGATGATTAATTTTAAGCAAGAGCAGCACAATAATTGCAGCTAATCGATTGAGGGAAATGATTTTCAGATAGGATTTCATTTGAAATGCATATTTTGTTTATGACTGCAGAGCTTAAGTCAGAAAATGCGTTCGGAAATCTTTGATATAAATATAAGTGACTATAAAATGCAGATAATAGAATCTATGTAGTACTTTAATGTCTCAATTTAGTTAGTCTATGAGATAATGTTTTCTTCTGTCTACAAGGCGTAATGTATACTATGTGGATGAATATGAGTTCTTATTTAGTTTCACTTATCAGTTGTCAAAACCTAGTATTTACTTAACTAATTAAGCCTAGAAATAATCAGTGAAATACTCTTTTAGGATAATGAAATGGACAATTGATATAATGAGTCATTATTCAAAATCTCATTATTAATCATATTATCATTTTAGATGATTGATAATGAGTAAATTTCCTTTAAAGATCCCTTCCATTCTCTTAATTTCAATTTATCTATTGCTAAAATTAGCATAACACAAAATATGTTTAGGTTTTTTTTTAGGAAAAATCATTAGGATGTCATAAAATTATTATATGAACCTCTGCATGCGGTTTGACAAAAACTTATTTCATTTACTGGGAAAATATATGTAGAATTCTGTATAAAAATCAATAAGTTCAATGAGCTTTATGCATTTATATTTACCTGCACAAAATATTAACATTAAAATAAATATGCCAAAAGTATATGCACATTAAAATAGACATTTTGGACCCCATAGCAAAAGTATATAAATGTATATCGTATATATAAATACATTTATATATTCTGAAAGAGCATTAACAGCACATTTTTCTTACCTAGAAATTCGTTATGAAAATCATTTATTTTTGGAGAAATGCAGCATTACGTATCTTTGACCCCATATATAACTTAAATATATATTTATGTGCATATTCTGGGTCGGTGCTAAGGCGATCTAGTATTTCTTGTCTTTTATACGGCATTCTGAAAAGCGAAGAATTTAGGCAGCTATGCGAGGAAGTATCATATTATTATTATTATGAGACATTATTATATGAATAACCTTTGCTTATTTTATTTATTTTAAATATAAAAATGAGCTCTGTTTTCAATTTATAATTTATTTAAAAAATATAAGCTAAGTTTTTTATTATACTCCATAAACTTCTTTTTACTAACATATTCATCTCTTTTACAGATGGTCCAGCGGAACTGGAAATAATGACAGCGCAATATCAAAAGCGAGCATTCTTCAGGCAGCTCTTGGACTTGGCCAACACAACAATTACGTATAATGTAGGCATGACAATTGAAATTCATGAAACATGTTAATTGAAATGTTGGTATTCAGAACACAGATCACTGGGATGGCTATGTCAATAATATACTGAACTCGAATAAGGAAGCTGTGGAGTCGCTGCTGCGCTCGAATTTGTCCACAGACGAGGAAGCTAGAAGAAACAATCCTTGGTCCTTTTGGAATGCCATGGTATACAGCTGTACGGTCTATACGACAATAGGTGA